TTCTATTGTTTTTACAGACTCTATTTCATCATTTATGCTCTGATTTTTGTTATTCCCTTCCTTCTCGCTTTGGGTGTTGTTATTCTTTTACTAGGTCTTTAGGTGTAAGGTTAGATTGAGATTTTTCTTGTTTCTTGAGGTAGGCCTGTATTGCTATGAATTTCCCTCTTAGAATTTCTTTGGCTATGTCCCATAGATTTGGGGTCATTTTGTTTTTATTTTCATTTGTCTCAGTCTCTTGATTTCTTCCTTGACCTCATTGTTTAGTAGCATGTTATTTAGCCTCCCTCTGTTTGTCTATTTTCCAGTTTTTTTCTTGTAGTTGATTTCTCGTTTCATACCATTGTGATTAGAGAAAACAGTTGATATGATTTCAGTCTTCTTAAATTTATTGAGACTTGTTTTGTGTCCTAACGTGTGGTCTATCCTAGCAAATGTTCTATGTGCACTTGAGAAGATGTATATTGTGCTGCTTTGGGGTGAAATGCTCTGAAAATATCTATTAAATCCATCTAGTCTAGTGTGCCTTTTAGGCCCATTGTTTCCTTGTTAATTCTTTGCCTGGAAGATCTGTCCATTGGAGTCAATGGAATGTTAAAGTCTCTGACTATGAGTGTATTACTGTTGATCTCTCCTTTTATGTTAGTCAATAAAAATTGCTTTATGTATGTAGGTGCTCCTATGTTGGATGCATGTATGTTTACTAGGGTTATGTCTTATTGATTTCTCGATCCCTTTATCATTATGTAATGCCCTTCTTTGTCTCTTATTCTAGCCTTTGTTTTAAAGTCTATTTTATCTGATACAAGTATCGCTACCGTGGCTTTTTTTTCATTTCCATTTGCATGAAATATCTTTTTCCATCCCTTTACTTTCAGTCTGTGAGTGTCATTTGATCTGAAGTGGGTCACTTGTAGACAGCATATGTATGGGTCTTGTTTTCTTATCCATTCGGCTACCCTCTGTCTTTTGATTGGAGCATTTACTCCATTTACACTTAAAGTGATTAGTGATAGGTACCTAGTTACTGCCATTTTATTATTTGCATTTGTTATTTCTTTTTTATTTTTTACCTTTTCTTTTTTTTACAGAGATCCCTTTAATATTTCTTGTAATACTAGCTTGGTAGTGATGAATTCCTTAAGCTTTCCCTGTCTGGGAAGCTCTTTATCTCACCTTCCATTTTAATCGAAAGCCTTGGTGGGTATAGTATTCATGGTTGTAGATTCTTGTTTTTCATAACTTTAAATATTTCTTGCCAGTCCTTTCTGGCCTGCAAAGTTTCTATTAAAAAATCAGCAGACATTCTTAGGAGGGTACCCTTGTAAGTAACTAGCCGCCTTTCTCTTGCTGCTTTTAAGATCCTCTCTTTGTCTTTGACCTTTGGCATTTTAATTATGTTGTGTCTTGGTGTGGGTCTGTTTAAAGTCCTCTTGTTTGGGACTCTTTGTGCTTCCTGAACTTGTATGTCTAGTTCCTTTGCCATGTTAGGGAAGTTTTCTGTCATTATTTCTTCAAATGAATTCTCAATCCTTAGCTCTCTCTCTTCTCCTTTAGATAGTCCTATGACCGTATATTGTTACGCTTCATGTTGTCCCAGAGGTCTCTTAAACTATCCTTTTTTTTTTTTTTTTTCATTCGTTTTTCTTTTCGTTGTTCTGATTGGGTGTATTCTGCTACATTGTCTTCCAGTTTGCTGATTCGATCTTCTGCTTTGTCTAATCTACTGTTAAATCCTTCTAGTGTATTCTTTATTTCAGTTATTGTATTCTTCATTTCTGTCTGGTTCTTTTTTAGGGTTTCTGTGTCCTTTTTTATGTTTATCTCTGTTGAGGTTCTCATTGTGCTCATCTATTCTCCTCCTAAGTTTGTTGAGTATCCTTATAATTATTATTTTGAATTCTGTCTCTGGTAGGTTGCTTGTCTCCATTTCATTTAGCTTGTTTTCTGGAGTTTTCTCCTGTTTCATTTGTGGCATGTTTCTTTCTTTTCTCATTTTATTGGCCTCTCTGTGTTCATTTCTATATGTCAGGAACATTTGTTTTGTTTCTCTGAGCCTCGGCCAGATGGCCTAATGTGGAAGGTGTTCTGTGTGGCCCAGTGACACACTCTCCCTGATCCCCTATGCTGGGGGTTCTGGACATGATCTCTGTGTGGGTTGTATGTGATCTTCTGTTGTCACCAAGCCTTTATTGCTGTTAGTACATCAGTGGATGGGATTCGCTCAGGCTGACTAATTGTGGGAATTGGCTCCACCCACAGGATGAGAGTTGCTGTATGGGAGCTGACCCCACTGAATGGGATGTGCCCTAGCAGGCTTGTGTACTTGTTGCAACCACCCTTTGTGTGTACCGCTAATGGGCTAGCCAGGTGTTGCTCTGTTGTGGTCTGGTGCCAGCCTCTGGATGCGTTGGTGTTGTGGCCCCTTTGGAGGGGCTCCCCCATAGGCCAAGGCCAGCCGCTGCTTTTGCTTGCTAAGGGCTGCCGGGTGGGAGCTCAAAGCAGTCCACAGATGGTTGTTGTCTATACTGGATCTATAGGTGAGTGGAAGAGACAACTCTAGGCAGCAGTCCCGTTATCCCCCTTCCCTGACCTTGGGCAGTTTAGCAGGGGACCAGTGCTCCTCCAGGTCTGACACTGCCTGTCAGTTACTCGTAAATCTCTGAAACTGGAAGAGCCTCTGGGTGATATGTGTGTTGTGTGGTGCCGGGAACCCGGGGGTCTCCTGGACCTATTGAGCAAATTTCTCCCAGCCACTGCAGTGTCAGTTTACATGCCAGCACTGTCTCTGTGGCTCCCTGTACAAGTTTCCAATCATAGCAAGGTCGGCTACTGCCCACCGTGGGCTTGAATGTGCCACCCGAGGGCAGGGGCGGCTGCCGGTCAACGTGCGGCAGGCACTTTGTGTATTGGATGAGGTAGGAACTCAAGGAATCAAGGGCTGTCAAGCCAGTAGCTTCAATTTTCTGCAGTTTCTGTGTCTGCACAGTGGGCTACAGGCACTTTGTGGCTTGGATGAACTGGGATGTCAGGGAGACAAGGGCCATCATCAGGTCAATATAGCTCAGTTTTGCTGCATCTTCTGTCTCTGGGTGTTCCTGCTGTAGTCACAGATCACAGTGAGACCAGCTGTCGTCTGGGGCAGTCTCACAGAACCCTGCACTCCCCAGAGCCAATATTGCAACTCTTACAAGCAGCAGAGGTCTGCCTGCAACAGATTTCTGTTCAGTGCCCGCCCTGTGCTTGCCAAAGTTTGTTGCCTGAATGGATTGGGGTGGGGAACAGGGAGGTGGCTGTTCACTGTCAATGGGCCACCTGGGGCAATTTGTGGATAGGTTGAGGCAGGGTCTCAGGAAGATGCTGGCAGTCAGATTAATACAGCCTCCGTGTTGCTGCTATTTTGGTAACCTTTTGAGCATTCCCACAGAAGTCCCAGATCACGGCAAGACCAGCTTCTGTCTGGGACTGGCTCACACATCTCTGAGATCCACCCAAGTTCACATGGGTAGCAGTGATCTGCCTGAAACTATCTCAGAAATGCGTGCTTACAATACTGGCTGCCAGCTGTGAATGCTTGGCCCTGAATCAGCACCGGGCGTGGCAGCCATCCAGCAATGAAACCCCGGGGGCACTCTGCAGGTAGGGTAAGGCAGGCTGATCTCCTCAGGCCAGTGCGTCCTAATGGCCCTGTGGGAGGGGTCTGCACTGTCAAGCTGGCTGGGTCTGTAGATTGCTCAGTAGGAGGGCAGGACTAAGGCACATGGTGCCTACCTGTCTAGCTCTCGTTCTGGTGCCAGGTAATAGAGACTTTCTCAGTATGAATCCAGCTGGAGCCTCTGACCCACCACAGGTCCCTGGTGAGTGTCCGCAGGTCAGAAAGCCTGTTTGCGGGTCCTTCAGAGGGGTGTCTAGGATTTCAGTCTCCCTTCACTCAGAGGGCTTGAATCCCCTCTGGCTTTTACAGTCAGAATTATTGGAATCTCCTCTTCCTGGGCTGGGGAGCCCCCAAATGAGGCCAGAACCCCCCTCTCCTTCAGGGGAGCCTCTGCGGCCTCTCTCTCCCTCACAGTGACCCTCCACTACCCACGGGTGCAGGTCCAGCTCAATTCACGACTTTGTCCCTCCTACCGTCTTTGATGTGGCTCCTTCTTTATATTATCAGACTTATGTGTTACAATCAGCTGGACTTCAAGTGATTCTTCATCTTGATTATTTTATAATTTGGTTGTAATTTCATTGTGGACCTGGGAGGAGGCAAACCCTGCCTTAACCAAGTCTGTCATCTGCTGGTTCAAGTATATTCTTTTTAAGAAACTATTTTCCGAAGTGGTTGTACCATTTTACATTTCTACCAGCAGTTTCTGGTGGGACTATGACTCATTCTTGAAAGATGTCTTAAATTTCCAAAACAAGTGGTTGAAACGTGATATGATGGTGGTTATAAGCTAATATTATATCACCTTATGGAGTTGGTTTGTAAGGATTAAATGAACTAATGTGCAAAAAGCATTTAGCACAAAGTGCTCAGTATCCATTAGTAGTGTTATTATCATTATTATTCTAATCATGCTATTTTTTCTTTGGTCTTTATTAGTAGTATGTTAGTGACTTATCTTGACAGACTAAAAATAAAGTCTAGACAGGCTGGACTTTTAAAAGATCAAAGTCACAGGTTATATAAAAATATTCACATTCATAAAAATGTCCTTAAACAAAATACATATTTTTTCCTTTCCAGTAGTGGAGGCAGTGAGACTTTAGGGGTTGTTTACCTAGCATTGTAGTAAAAGTTAAGGCTTGCAGTTATTGTAGTTGTCGTCATTATATATCATTTTTGTTTCAGTTTTAGCTTTCAGAGAATGACCTTTCAGTATATACTATTTAATTATGAGCTTCAAGGTCTGAAAATGTATTACCAACTCAAAGTTGATTATAACATTCTTAAAAAGAAAAATAATTGACACTGACTTGTGCTTATTTGAAATGTTTTTACTATACAGAAACAGCACCTTCTCTTTGGGATGTGGAATTTGCTAAGCAGTTAGCAGCCGTAAATGAACAGCCCTTTCAGAATGGTTTTGAAGAGATGATCCAGTGGACAAAAGAAGGGAAACTGTGGGAGTTCCCAGTTAACAATGAAGCAGGTAAGTCCTAACCTCAGAGGTTTATAAAATTCAGTGATTGAGATTAAATGTGGCATATGTTCAGTTACAGAGTCTAGATACTTACCTGAATTTCTGAACTTTGTGTAAACATCTTTGTCATTTCCTAAAAGAAATCTGAGTGGTTTTTTTTTTTTTTTAATGTTAGAATTTCACTTAATTCTAGATGTTTGCTAAGGAAAATGAAGAAAAATTATATAGCAGAAATGCATTATGAATTTCTATGACATAAAAGTGCAAATGGTGCCAGTTTTTTAGTTGTTAAGTAGAAAATTACCTGGCAAATCTTCTAATATACTGAATACTGGATATGAGACTATACTTCAGTTTTGGGGAACATTATAACTCTTAAGATTTTATGCTAGTATCTTTTATTTATAAAACTGTTGCCTTAATGAGTTGTAAGGTTCCTTGTACTCAAAGCCACTCAAATCAAAAATGTTAGGAGGCTTCGAAACTCTTTGGAACTCTTTAGTTTCATACCTAGATTTTTTGAATTGGTAATAAATTATTATCTACTTTCCTAGAGATTTTTCTGGAGTTGTTACTTTTTCCTCAATCAAAAGGAAAACAATATTGCTGTGCCATTTATTTTTATGGCACCCATGTGGTCATCAGCTAAACATTTTTATTGAATTTTATAGGTGCATTTTCCATTAGAACAGATTTGTTTACTTTTTTGGTAAGATGAGCTAGAAGTTGCAAATACCTCAATAAGTCTTGAGAAATCGTCCATACTTTAACCTTTGTAGTATTATGCTATCACTATAATATTTTAATTTTTGATAACCTTTCATTTGTTTGGATTAATAAGTAGAATGGAAGCTTAAATATCAGAAATATTTAGTCTTGTTTTCATAAAATATAACTTTGTATAGGAAAACTTTAGAGACTAACAAATCCTTTAACAAATTCGTAATATTTTGTGTATTTGTATGGTATATGCAGTAATATAGTATGCTGTTTCATCTATTACACAACATATATATTTCTTAAAATTTTATGGTTTTTATACTCTGTAAGATTTAAAAACAAAAACAAAAAAACAGGGACTTTTTAGTTGTACAAACCTGAGTATAAATCCCATTTCTGTCAATTATAAGCCATTTGCCTTTGAGGAAATTATTTACTCTCTTGAGCCTCAGTTTCCTCATCTGTAAAATTAAAGATACCTCATTGGAAGAATATAAGAAATAAGGTAATGTTCCTGAGTTATTCAGCGTAGTTTTTGGCATGTAATACATATGAATAAATGTTAGTTCCTTTCCTCTCCTATATGATCATAGAATTTTAAATGTCATAAAAAACTAGTAAAATACAATGTGAATTTAAGGGAAGATTTCATTATTTAATGATACTTGAATGTTCCAAGTCTTTATGGTTAAACACATAGTTTTAAAACCCAGTATTGACGTAGAATGACATGTGACTTTATTTAGGAGAGACAATGAAATGTAGTGGTTAGGGGTTCAAGTCCCGGGTAGATTATTGACTTAATCTCTCTAAGCCAGGGGGCATCTATAAAATGATAGGAATAATAAATGGAATTACTTTATGGGATTCTTCTGAGAAACAAGCGAGATGTATATACAAGTAAAGCATCATCATCATCATCATCATCCCAGTTTCTACAAGTGTTGTAAAGGGATTTGCTGCTGTAATTGTTTTCTGTTCTATACTGTAATATTTTAAAATCTTAAAATATTAGCAAAGATATTATGTATTTTCTAGGAACCACCAAATAGGGTAATAGGAAAGCCTGAATTGGTGGTACGTTGTCATCAACAGTGAAACACTTAAGTTCGTCAAAATCTCAAGTGCCCTAACTCCAAAGAATTTATCTTAAATTTGACCTGGGTTTTGAGATAGTTTAATTTCTAAAAGGGGTACAGCATTTTTTTTGGTCAGATTGTAGAGATAAATGTGACAAATATCCATATACATTATACATGTTATTGATGCTTCAGGGTCTGAAAGGGAGGTATCATTTCCAGCTCCTTAAGGCAATTGTTATCTGAATGAAAAACAGGAAAGGAACTGTAGAAACTTTCCCACTTTGCTCACTCCTCTCAATACAACTTAGGAACTTCTGAATACTCGGAGAGACTGGCATTAGAACTTGGAGCCTCAACAGTTCAGTAGCATTCTTTTATATTTCTTAAATTTTAAGATTAATAAAATGTCATGCTCTCTCTACCAATAATTAGCTTATGAAGATTTACTTTGGTGCTTTTGGGGAAAGATGTTTTATTTTTAGGGACTCGCTATGTCAGTTTTGGAACATAGTATGAAAATGACAGAACAATGTGTCCTATTTTACAATTTACTTCCCAGTGTTGTGTTTTTCTATTATATAAAAAATTTGGTTTGTTGTTTTGCCACTTAAAATGTATAAATTATTTTTCCAATTCAAAGTAGGTTTTTTTCAGTGTTTGTTTTAAGAACTGGTTTGTTCTTTCTGTTGTGTTTTGCCAGCATGGAGATTTATAAGAGCTGTTAGGTAGAATTGTTCCCACTTAGATTTTGCAGTATTTGTTATATGTTGGATCAATAGTAAAATAATTTTCATTTTAGCTTTGACTTTGACTTTAATCACATTTTTGCCGTTACCTAGTTAACAGAGCTTTGTTCTTGAATATCCATTACATATATATATATTATGGATATATATATATATATATATCATTATATATATATATAATGATATATATATGTCACCAAATTAAGGATATTTTGGAAATGCTCTCCAAGAGTAATTCTCATTTACACGCTTCAGTGGGCAAAAAGGCTAAGTCATGAATGTTAATCACATTTTTGTTTTTATTATTCAGTTGGTTTAAACTTTTTTACTTCTGGGGTGCTGTCTTTTGCTAGGGTATCTAAAAAACATGTGTTGTAATATGAGCTAGCAAGAATAGTTAGGAAGTTCAAAATTACCATAAAACTCTAAAGAGTGCTCTCTTGTTATGGGGGAGGGTATAGCATAAAGAAAATGAGGGCAGCCATAAAGATTATTAGGTATGTGTTTTCTGAAACAATCTGTTGGTTGTTTTAGATGAGATGATGGCCTATGAACAAGAGCCTCAAAGTTCTGACAGGAAAAGAAATAATAGTTTTGACAATAAATAGAAGTGAAAACAATTGAGAGTGAAAGTGACTGAATTCACGTCAGTGGTATAATATGTGAAAATAATTGGTCATTCAATTGGACAAAGAAGGTGTGGTACAATGGAATATTACTCAGCCATAAAAAAGAATCAAATCTTAACCATTTGCAACAACATCGATGGATCTAGAGAGTATTATACTAAGTGAACTAAGTCAGACAAAAACAAATACCTGATGACTTCACTTATACGTGGCATATAAAGAACAGATGAACAAACAAAACAGAGACAGATTCATAGATACAGAGAACAAACTGATGGTTGCCAGATGGGTTGGGGGCTGGGTGAAAAAGATAAAGGGATTAAGAAGTACAAATTGGTAGTTACAACATAGTCACAGGGATGTAAAGTACAGCATAGGGAATACAGTCAATAATATTGTAATAACTATGTATGATGCCATTGGGTACTAGACTTATTGGAGGGATCACTTTGTAAGTTATATGAATGTCTAACCACTATGCTGTACACCTGAAACTAATATTGAATGTCAACTGTAATCGAAAAATAAAAATTAAAAAATGCAAATAATTGGTCATTAGTATCAACTGGATTTTACTCATTATTTGTTGCACCATATTTTTAGGTGTATTCAGTAATATTTAATTGCATTCAGTAATATTTAAAGTAGAATGAGACAGAATTAACTTGTCACCTTAGCTGATTGCATACCATATGGGATTTCCTTCCTGTGTGTTTCTCTTGTTTATTAAAAAGGTATTTTAAATTTCATAAACATATGAAAGTTTACTTGCAAAAAAGTCAAATAATATGAAAGAATAGGGAGTATACCTCTCAGTTCTCTTCCCTTTTCTTGAAACAAGCATTGTCAGTAGTTTGATATGTGTCCTCACAGTCCACTTTAAATGGCAGTTACATATTTATTTGTTTTGTTTTGACCTACATGGGACTATACATATATTTTCCAGCATTTTTTTTTTTGCTTAGCACCATGTCTTGAAAACATTTCCGTGTCACAACATAGAGATCAATTTTAATTGTTTTAATAGTTTTATAAAATAGAACTATATTATATTTATTTAATACTTCTATAGTATGTCATTGTATGCAATGTAAATATTTTACCCTTCTGTTGATAGATGGAGTTGTAGTAAATCCTTTTATATATGTCCTTCCGTACATGTTTGAGTACTTTTAATTCCTAGAAGGGTCAAATAATAGGTATATTTTAAATTGCAATAAATATTGATACATTCTCTTCTAAACAGCCCATTGATCTTCCAACCAACTATATGAAAATTCTATTTCTACACACTTTACCTAATGTCGAATATTAACCTTTGAAATGTTCAAGGCCAAAAGTGGCATCATTGGTATTTTTATTTCCAGTCCCCTGATTGCTAACCAGATTGTGCATCTTTTTGTGTATTGGCTATTTTGTATTTGTTCTGTGACTTACATCTTCATATCCTTTGAAGTTTTCTTTTGGGTTGTTTTATCAGTTTGTAGGAACTTGATACATTGTAGACTCAATCCTTCATCTCTTATAGTTGGAAATATTGTCTCCCAATTTATCTCTTTCTTTTTAAATTAATTTGATTTTTATATCATAGTAATTTTGTAGTTTAATATAAAGCTATAATATAAAGCAATTCTTTTTATCACCTGTACTCAAAGCCAACCTCTTTCAATCTTTTTGCTCTATTTTATTATTTACATTTCTAAATTATATGCTTAATACTTCTATCCACTTTAGATATTATCTAATGTGTATGTCTTTTCCTCATCCTCTCAATATAGATACATCATAATTTTTGTTAGATCTTTGTTAATTATATTAGTATGACTATAGTATTTATAAGTTTCAGAATGATAATCTTTAGTAAGGGATATTATTTGTTTAAAATCATGGCTCTAGGCACCATTGGGTCCTTTAATCTGGGAACTTTATTTTTCGGTTGTGGAGAAATTTTCTTTTATTATTTGATAATAAAAGCCTTCCTAGTCTCTCTCTCTCTCTGCTCTCTCTCTCTTCGTGTTTTATGCTCTGGGAACATTCCTCAACTTTATCTTACAACCTTTCTCTTAGGATTTGTTTCTCCTATCATATTTTTAACCTTTAAACCCTCCTCTTTAAAAATTGTTATTCTTGGTATTAGATTTTTTTCCCTGCTACTCAAATTTTTTTGTTTTCTCAAAGTTTCTTTTTGTTTCAGAGTTTACATTGTTTAACACTAGCTGATGTTTCATTGAGTCTCCATATGTGATGGTTCATCAGAATAGAATTTTTTTTGGTGTACAGTTCAAGTTCCAGATCAGTAAGCAGCTGTGCTGTGCAGTTATTCAAGGATCCAAGTTTCTTCCATTTTACTATCTTTTCTCCCATAGGGTGTTTTCCTCATGTGTGTGATTAAAGATGAGTCACTGGAACGTTGTGCTCAGGCTTATGAGAAGGGGAAAAAAGGGAATAGTGTAAGCAATTCCACTATCTTAAAGGTTCTGTCCTGATAATGTCACACATCATTTCTGTTCATATTCCACTGGTGAAAATTTAATTATGTGGCTACGCCTAACCCAAAGGGAAGCTGGAAAATGTAATGTTGCTGAACATGCACAGACAGGTTTTTACTTCTTATACTATGATAAAAGGGGAAAATGGATTTTGACAGGTGGGTATCAGTTTCTGCCGAGGTGTTTGTCACTTATATTAGAGACTTTCCTAAAATGTCTGCTGTTCTTTGGATGTTTGTTCATCCAAACATAAAAAGCTGTTTTTGAATTTGTGTGCATGGGTGGGACTTGTAAACTGTTGGGCTTCGTTTCAGAGGAATTTGGAAGGAGCCAGTTTGGGGACCATGACAACCCAATATTTATTGTTCTTTTCATTGACTCCAGTGAGACAGTTTCCACCTGCCTGACTTGAGGCTTTAGGCCTTGGCTGTGCTCTGAGAACTGTGGAGGAAAGGCTTTGTGGGTAAGGTGGTCTCACCATTTAGAATACAGGCTTTCACTTAATTTCCCTCTTACCAATTCAGTGACGTTTCTTTTTTCATTTTAATTTCTCCAAAAAGTAAACTGTCTATCTTTGGGAATGCATGGTGTAGTCATCTAGAGGTACATATGGAAGATGGGATATGAGAGATCTAACTATTCCCTAAACCAGTTTTAATTAATGCTGGTTTTTTTGTTCCTCATCTCCACTCCTAATTTCACTGGTATAGTAGTCCCCCACATCTGTGGAGGATGTGTTCCAAGACCTCCAGCAGATGCTTGAAACTACAGATTGTACTGAACCCTGTATAGACTATATTTTTTCCTATACATATATACCTATGATAAAGTTTAATTTATAAATTAGGCACAGTAAGAGGTTAACAATAACTAATAATTAAATAGAACAGTTACAGCAGTATACTGTAATAAAAGTTAATATGATTATTATCTCTGAAAAAATCTTATTGTATGTACTCACCATTCTGGTGATGTGAGATGATACAATGCCTATGTGATGAGATGAAGTGTGAGGTAAGAATTTTTATCAAAATGAGTATTGGATCATCTGATTTTCTTCTTTTACCTGTTAACGTGGTGTATTATATTGATTTTCAAATACTGAACCAGCCTTTCACAGCTTAAATAAATCCCACTTGATATTTGTGTATTAGTCTTTTTATACACTGTTAGATTTATTTGCTAATTTCTAAAAAGGTTTTTTGCCTCTAATTCATGAGAGATACCGGTTCGTATTGTGCATGCATACGTGCGCCCTCCCTCTCTCCCTCTCTCCCCACCCCCATGTCTTTATTATTGATAACCAGGTAATTATTACTGGTTTCATAAAATGAGTTAGGAAGTATCCTTTTTGTGGAAGTTATTGTGTAAAATTGGTGTTAAATTTTCTTTAAATGTTTGATAAAATTCTCAAGTGAGGTGATCGAGGCCTAGGGATTTCTTTTTGAGAGCTTTTAAATTACACATCCTATTTCTTTAATAGCTATAAGACTGTTGTCTATTTTGTTTGAGTTTTGGTAGTTATATTGGATTTTTTTAAATTGTCCGCTTTTTCAAGTTGAATTTGTAAGTGTACAGTTATTGGTGGTATTCCTTTACTATCCCTTTACTGATTTCAAGATGTATAATGACAACCCTTTTTTCATTCCTAATATTGGTGGTTGGTGCTTTCTCTCCTTTTTTCTTTATCAGATTGCTAGAGATTTATCAATTTTACTGATTTTTTTAAGAACCAGGTATTGGTTTCATTGATTTTTCTCTGTTTTCCTATTCTCCATTTTATTGATTCCTGATATTATCTTTATTATTTCCTTCCTTTTGCTTGCTTTGGGATTATTTTGTTCTTTTACTAGGTTCTTGAGGTGAGAGCTTAGATTATTTGAGACTTTTCCTCTTTTGTATGCATTTAGTGCTGTATATTTCCTGACCAGCAGTGTTTTAGCTGTGTCCTACAAATTTTGCTTTGTTGTGTTTTCATTTTCATTCACTTCTATTTGTTTTTGAAATTTTCTTTTTAGATTTTCTCTGACCTATTAATTTTTTATAACCATATTAATTTCCAACTGTTTGAAGATTTTCTGTGATTTCCTGTTGTCTTTCTGTTAATGACTTCTAGTTTGATTCCATTATGATCCGAGAACATACTGTGTATTAGTTCAGTTATTTTAAATGTGTTGAAATTTGTGACCCAGGGTATGGTTTAGCTAGGTGGATGTTTCATGGTTGCTTGAAAAGAATTTCTATTCTGCCGTAGTTTGGTAGAGTGTTCTATAGACATCTGTTTGATCCTATTAGTTGTTCAGTTCTTCTGTATCTTTGCTAATTTTTTACCTGGTAATTCTCTCAATTGCTGACAGTGGGATATCGAAATACCTATTTATAATTGTTGATTTTTCTATTTCTTTATTTCTATCAGTTTTTCTTTCATTTATTCAGGAAGTCTATTGTTTGGTGCATACGTAATTCAGATGCTATGTCTTCTTCGTGGATTTATCTTTTTATTATGTAATGTTCCTTTTTCTTCCTAGTAATTTTCTTTGCCCTGAAGTTTGCTTTATCTGATATTCATATAGCCACTAATGCTTTCTTTTTTAAAGAAAATTAATATTAGTGCCTTTTCAGTCCGGAACCATCATCTTCCAGTAATTCACCAAAATTACCAACAAAGGGAAGGAGAAGAGGCACCCACTATATGTTCTCTAGGCCTTTTAGAAAACATGGAGCTGTTCCTTTGGCCACAAACATGCTAATCTACAAGAAAGGTGATATTATAAACATCAAGAGAATGGGCACTGTTCAAAAAGGAATGCCTCACAAGCGCTACCATGGCAAAACCCGAAGGGTCTACAGTGTTACCCAGCACGCGGTTGGCATTGTTGTAAACAAACAAGTTAAGGGCAAGATTCTTGCTAAAAAAGTCACGCACATATTGAACATATTAAGCACTCTAAGAGCCGATATCGCTTCCTGAAATGTGTGAAGGAAAATGATCAAAAAAGAAGGAAGCTAAAGAGAAAGGTACCTGGGTTCAACTGAAGTGCCAGCCCACTCCACCCAGAGAAGCACATTTTATGAGAACTAATGGAAAAGGAACCTGAGCTGCTGGAGCCCATTCCCTATGAATTTATGGCATAAGTTTAAAAAAATAATAAAAGACCTCTAATTGAGTAAGTCCCTTCCCCCAAAGAAATATTTAAAGAAAACCTAATTCTTTGGGTGATGTCTTTACTATTCAGATTTAGTGTTTTTTCTTGCTGAAAGATGAGAGGTGGTTTACTGTGCAACAAAGAGTATAGTTCATTGGTTAGCAAACTGCATTTGTTGAATTACAGTTAAGCTCAGAGAAAGTTAATCACTCATAATTGCATCATAAACAGCTGTATTTTAAGGATTAGGAACTCACCTTTGAAGCCTGCTACTTAAAAATAGATTATTTAAAGTAAAAAAAAAATAGTATTAACAAGATATATCTTTCTCCATTCTTTTACTTTCGACCGATGTATGTTGTGTTTGAAGTGAGTTTCTTATAGATTGCATATAGTTGAATCATGTTTTTCTATCACTCTGCCAATCTTCTTTTCTAGACCATTTACATTTAATTATTGATGTGTTAGGACTTAAGTGTCCCATTTTATTATTTGTTTTATGTTCATTTTCTATGTTTGTCATTCCTCTGTCTTGGCTTCCCGTGGGCTGCTTGAACATATTTTAGAATTCCATCTTATGTTATTTACATATTTTTTTTAGTATAGCTTATATAGTTTCTTTAGTGGTTGCTTTAGATATTAAAATATTTATGAGCAGTAATTGCTGCTGCACTTTGAACATTAGTATAATAAGCATTGTAAAAGCTTTATAAGCTTTGCATCTATTTAATCTTTACAAAATCCCCAAGAAGGTGTTGTTTTAATCATTTTATGCCCGAGGAAACTGATGCTCAGAGAAATTAATTTGCCCAGTCACACAGTTATTAAATAGGTGGGCAAATCTAAGTCTGACTTTAAAGTTTATGCCTTTAACTATAATACTATATTATCTCATTAATATTAATTTTGTGATGTAGGTTTTAAATTGTAAATGTATTTTGTCTTATTTCCTAGGTTTTGATGATGATGGTTCAGAATTTCATGAACATATATTTCTGGATAAATACCTGGAAGATTTTCCCAAACAAGGACCAATTCGCCACTTCATGGAGCTGGTGACCTGTGGCCTTTCCAAAAACCCATATCTGAGTGTTAAACAGAAATTGGAACACATTGAATGGTTTAGAAATTATTTCAATGAAAAACAGGACATTCTAAAAGAAAGTGGCATACAGTTCAATTGAAGTCCATAGAAAATTTTATTTCAAGCTGTTAGAGATTGGTATTATAACTAAATAAAATAATTTTCCTATATCGTATTAATTATTGCATCTTATTTGAATGATATGTCAGATTATTTAAAAATATTTAATGGTAACTGAAAAATATCCTTGCATGAAATGATCAGCATTCATAGATTCAACTAGTAATTCTTTTAAAAAAGAATATCTTTGAATTAGTAATGTTTAAAACAACTTTCTCTAACCTTTTTTTCATTCAATGACCATACTTCATTGAAATACAATTAGTCATGTATATGATGACATCAGAGGGCTATACCAGTTGAGATGATTTATAGACGGATTTATATGCATATATATCTTTCTATATTTACATATGTGCACATTTATGTTTTTATTTATTTCACATTAAATTAACTATCCTTGCCTAAGTCTACATTACTGTAAAGAAGTACCCTTATAGAAATAAAGGGCTTATTCTAATTTCTTCTTGGCGTTAGGTCTTACTGCCAAAGTTAGAAGTATTTATTTTCTATTATGGTGTTTGGCATTGTGATTCAGATTCACTCAAATGATTGAGAATTCCAAAAAAAAAAACCCTCAAAAGCAAGAATTTAGTTTACAGTTGCTCCAGGCTACTAGTGCTTCAGGCCCCTGACACAAGCAAACAAAACCCCATCAGAAACCCAGGCTTCCTGTTATAAAACACATAAGGAAACAAAGCACTATGAAGCACACCAGCAGAAGTAACAGACAACAGACTAAAACTTGTAAAGCCTTTAAATATTGGGCTTATCATATTCAGAATATAAAATATGTGTAACTTTGAATGAAATACACAGCAGAAGACTGTAGAAGTGTTCAAACGGATTTGAAGAAAAAATTTGGTGAAGGAGTTTAACAACAGATTAGACACCGGAAAATAGATTCGGAGAAATTTCTCACGTGCAGCAGAGAGAAGCAAAAAACAAAAGTATGGAAGAAGGGTAAAAATTAGTGTAAAAGTAATATTTGTACAATCAGATTTTCACAAGAAGAGGAAAGAAATGGGTCAGAAGCTATCTTTGGATAGTTAATAGGTGAGAATTTTTAATTTATGAAAGAACGTGGTTCCATAGTGTAGCATTAAGCGCGTCTGCTTTACACGCAGAAGGTCTTGAGTTCACGCCCCAGTGGAGCCATAGTGCATGGTCTATGGCCATACCACCCTGAACAAGCCCGATGTCTGATCTCTGAAGCTAAGCAGGGTCAGGCCTGGTTAGTACTTGGATGGGAGACCACCTAGGAAGACCAAGTACTGTAGGCATAAATAATAAAATAATAATAAAATAAAAATTTATGAAAGACAGCAATTCACAGTTAAATTGTTATCTCTTGGTCATATATAGAAACTGCCCAATGGCAGCAGAATACATTCTTTTCAGGTACACTGGAACACTTAAAATTTTATATTTTAATTTGGGTATTTCATTTATAGTTATCAATATATTTGGATTTATTTCAGTACCTTTTTTTGTGTACCCTTACTATTCTTTCTTGCCTTTGTTTTGGTTATTTTTTCTCATGCCATACTAGTGGGAGAGAGGGACAAAATACAAAATAACTTTCAAAGATAAGGGCTAAATTTGTCAGATAAAAAAACAGTTGGCTACCAGTAGTAGATCATTAATAAACTACTAAAGATGTACATCAGGCAAAAGAGAAATCATCTCAAATTTGAGGTCTTAAATACAAGAAATAGCAAAGGAAGTGATGTATATGTAAGTTAATTCTAAATAATCATGGGATTGATTAAAATATGTGAAAATAATAGGACATGTCAGGATGGATTTTTTAAAAAATATCAAGTGATAGGCTGTTTTCCAAAGGCACAACTAAAATGAGACTACCAAAAGGTTGAAAGTAAAAGGGAAAAAATATATCTAACAAATGTTAAAAGAAATCAGAAAAAAGCCTGAAAGATATTATTAAAGATAAAAGATAACAAAAAAAAACTATCTGGAATCTAAAACAACTCTAAACTGGTATGCACCAAGTAACATGGATTCAAAATATATAAGGCAATAATTGACATATAAAAAAATAGACAATACCATTATGGTGAGATATTTTAACATAATTGATGAGTTAAACAAACAGATCAGAAGCTTTGATATAGCTAATTAACAATTTGACCTAATAGACATTTTTAGATCATTTCATCAAAATAGCTTTAAATGTATTCCTTTCAAGCATGCACATTTATAAAAATTGATCACAAAATTGGCCAAAAAGCACAAATTTGAACAAATTTCAGCAGAACACAGAGCATGTTCTCTGATTACACTGCAATGAAGTTAGAGACTAAACTGAAAGCTAACAAGAAAGACCCCATATGTTCAGAAATTAACACTTTTTATTCAAAGAAAAAAAATCTTCAGAACTAGACACTATGAATCAAAACATAGGTTGCAGCTAACATAATTAGAGGAAAATAATGTTAAAAAAGACAGGCTGTTATTTAACGAGGTAAGCTCACTATCTTAAGATATTAGAAAAAGAATGAGAATAAGGAAATAAGAGAACTAAGACAAAAGCAGAAATTAATGAAATAAAAATAATACAGTAGAAAGGATCCACAAAGTCAAACACTGGTTCTTTAAATAACTAATAAACTCTAATCCCTTGTCAAGAAAAAAAATTTTTAATAGAGAAAAAAACCTTAGTATAAAAAATGGAGATAACTATAAATGTCACAAAGATTAAAGATTTTTTTAAAGAGGTTATTATGAACAACTTCATGTCAACAAATGTGAAAACATGAAATGAGCAGATTCCTCAAAATTATGCTATTAAAATCAGTGAAAGAAAAAGAATAATAAAAGTGGATTTCTATTTTTAAAATCTTCCCAGAAAGAAAGCAACAAGCCCATACCATTTCTGAGTGTTCTAAACGTTCAGAAAACAAATAATTCTAATCTTATACAAATTGTTCCAAAGCATGGAAAAAGGGAATAAACTCCAACTCAATTTCAAGAGACTAGAATAATAAAGGTTAATCTCAATCATGAAGATGCATTTGAAAAACCAAAAACAAAATAGCAAAGTAAATCCAGCAATGAATAGGGGAAAAATATCACCTCAAAGGATGCAGACAAAAAAGTTTGATAAAATTCAATGGTCATTTATAATTTTAAAAAATACTAGTAAACTTGGAATAGAATTTCTTTAATATCATTTACCAAAAATCTACAGCAAACATTCTTTATGATGAATCTAACCATTTCGTTTAAGTTGATAACAGTTTATTCTCAGCATTATACTGGGATCCTAGCCGGTGCAATATAGCAAGAAAAAAATATAAAAGCTGTTGGGATTGAAAATTCACCCTAAGGTAATCTCCAATGAATCACATTCTCTCTCTGAGTGTGGGCAGAACCTAAGACTTGCTTCTAGTAAACAGAGTATACCAAAGGTGGGTTGCAGTCATTCCTTCCATTGGTCTATGTTCTGGGCAAAAGTGATGGAATTAGTCTTGTGATTACATTATGTTATCAGCAACAAACAAAATATAATTTATAAGATCATTTATAGCAGCATCAAAAAATGTAAATGAATAAAATCTTATGAAAGATATATAAGAATTTTATGAAAACATTTTTAAATTTTGATGAAACAGTAATAAAATAAATAGATGAATAAGAAGATCATTGGTAAGACTCAATACCATAAAGATATTAATTCTTTTCAAATTTGCCTACGGCTTTAATGCAATTTCATTCAAAATGCCACAAGTTTTTTTTTTTAATGGAACTTTGCAAATTTATGATAAAATCATAGAGGAAAGCAAGGAACCCAAGAAGAGCCAAAATACTCTTGAAAAAGAAGACAAGGTGAGGTGAGGAAGTTGCTTTAACTCGTAAGCTATCAAGACTTATTACAATTAGACAACAGGATATTGTACACAGATAATGAAATAGACTGATGGAACAGAATAGAGAACAGAAATAGACACATTAGT